CCTATGGTATATGTGGGCGACAAGGAGAACAGCAGGGACTTAAAACGGGGAAAGTTAAATAGCAGTTGTTAACAATGGGAACTGGGTGGGAGACGGGGGAGGAGAAGAGGGGAGGATGAATGAAATAGGTTTGCTTGAAGTTCTAGAAATATTTTCCACAAAAATGAACTCTTTGTTCTCGATACTCAACAGTACAATTTTATAAATCATTAAGGGCCTGGTGGCAACACACAAACTGAAGGAATTACAATTTCTTTTTTGCAATCCCACAGAGTTCCCCCTAAAGGCATTCCATGGAACAACAATATAATTCTTTTTCTTAAAAGAAAAAAGCAATAAAAAATATCTATTGAGTCTTCAATAAGTTACGTGCTTTTATTTTATCCTTCAAAAATATTCTCATAGGTTGCAAAAAAGGAGATAGAAAGAAATTAAAAGGCCACCTCCATCCAGGGACATTAACCCATCAATATGATTTTAATAACATTTTTTTAAATATTGAGAAATTGGTAACTGGAGAGACTATGTCTGTCTGTCTGGAGAGACTATGTCTGTCTGTTTGTCTGTCTGTAGCTTCTCGCTGATGCTAGGCTCAAAACCTAGGCTCAAGACTCAATTAGTACAGATTAGTATTGGGTTACAAGCATTCATTTAGCACCCGTTTGAAGTTTCGACATAAAGCGTCCATTTAGGATTTATGTGCAAGTCCCAGAATTACGAATGTTGCAGCACCACAACAGTTGTTCATCCTTAAGAATGACTGCAAGTCTGCAACATCTCCCCACAACTGTTTCCCTCTTCCCATCCTGCACTGAACCACAATCACTTACCTTAGAAGATCTGTCTCCTCTCTGCAATGTTGATAAAAATTCCTGGGTGCCATAATATCACACAAGTTCAGGTAGCCATCCTCTTTTGCGAAACTGAGTGCCTGAACTCTCGCAAGATTACGGATCCCAGTGTGGGAAGTCAGAAACTTACATTCTCAGCAAAAAGTTTTTGTGGTGCCAGTCACCTGCTCCTATCTCCCAACTCCTTTCCACCATCATCGGGACACCTTTCACAGAGACCTGACGAGACTGGAAGCTTCATGGAGAGATTCGCTGTTTTGAAATGCCCCATGAGGGCTTTGAAAATTGAGGGATTTGCTCTGTTTTCAAAAGTCTCATAGGTGTCTATGGAGCATTTCAGGTTGAAGGGATTTGCTACATTTTGAAATGCTCATAGATGTTAGGGGAGGTGGGGAGGAGTAGGAGACAGATGCCATAAACACTTTTCACGCCTAGGAGCTTGCATCGACTCTTTTCTCCCTCAAAGCAAAAGAAACTGCAGCAGAGAGGCCACAGATCTTTGCAACATAAATCAGTGCACCACAGCAGGGACTGGGAAGCATGGGGTATCAGTGGGTTGGGAAGGCCTTTGAGGCCTGTTCCATCACTAGCAACCCCATAGCCTCCCCCACCCTGAGATACCTCATGTGCACTTAACAACCCACATTTGCCCATGCATTAAATAAGTGATTGAATTAGCAATTAAATTAATGAATGTATGGGCAAAAGTAGAGAGTGATCTTATTCAAAGTACAAGATTCACTCCCACAAATCCTTGAGGTATGAATGGAATGGGCATTACATTCATAACTCGAGGACCACCTGCACTTGTATAATAGAGATTGTCAGGAAATTCCAGGGCTATAGACTGGACGGGAGGGAGAGGGGAATAATATAGAAAAAAGGAATAGAAATCTACTTCCATCTTACCCAGCACTTAGGGAAAATACTTAGGGCTCAGTCTGAAGAGAACTTTTTTTTTTATCTTGTAAGTGTGCTTTAGATACTCCCCTTGCAGTTCAACTAACTAAAGTGAATGATTATAGTACAGTATGTGTTTAATTTCTCTGCATAGTTCCAAGACACGTGGTTAAATTCTTTGTTAGGTAAATGGCATGCATCAAACAATTAAAGGGGGAGGGAGAAACTAAACTTTCTTAGACCTAATGCATGGATCCAGAGTGCCACCTGTTGTTTCAGAAAGAAATTGCAGAACTACAGAAATTTGGGGATCAGACTTTTATATACTATACATAGACCTCCCAAAACAGCTCCCAACAGAAACCAGCATGGCTGCATAAAGAACTCTCTGACAAATTGAAAGACAAAAAAAGATAAGTATAAAAAGTGGAAAGAGGGGGACATAACTAACTAACCCGAGGCTGTAAAGATGAAGTGAGGAAAGCTAAGGCTCACAATGAAGAAAGGCTTGCCACAAAAGTAAAAAATAACAAAAAAAAGCTTCTTCCAATATGTTAAAAACAAGAAAAAGATATAGTACATATAAAAGGGGGAAAAAGGAATTCAAGAGT